TGTGTGTGTGTGTGTGTGTGTGTGTGTGTGTGTGTGTGTGTGTGTGTAGAGAGAGAGAGAGAGAGAGAGCTTATTAGAATGGCTGACAGGCTGTGGTCCAGTTAAACCAACAATGGCCACCTATGAACAGAAGATCCAAGGATCCAGTCATTGATCAGTCCACAAGGCTGGAAATCTCAGCTGGGCTTCCGTATACCCCAGAACCCCAAAGAAGTAGGCTCAGCAAAGGTAGCCAGGTGAGAGCAAACAGGCCAGACCAGCGCTCCCTTCTTCCATGTCCTCCTCCAGGCTTCCACAGAAGGTGGCCTGGATTGGAGGTGGCTATTCCCGCCTCGGAAGATCTGGATTAAAGGTGTGTCTTCCCACCAGATCCAGATTAGAAGTGGCTCTTCCCTTCAAGTTAGGCAGGAACCCCTCAGGGGGCTGCCCTTCCTGTGGGGGGTTTAGTTAACTCCAGGTATAGTCAGCCAAGAACAGCTGTCGCAGTCACTAGTCTTTGGGAAGGCATGCAAATGAGGTGAAGCCACCCTGCACTCTTAAAGGGACCCAGATAGGCTGGATGTGTGTGACGGGTCCCTACTGCCATTAGATCTAGACATTGAAGCTCCAGCTGTGGAGCATGTGGAAGGACGCCTGAAGCCAGGCTGGCTCTCCTCCTGGAGAAGGGGGCGTCACAGTCACCCTCAGCACCTTGACTGGGGAAGGTGCCCCAGGAGCCCCTCCTCTCCCGGGCTTAGTGAGGACTCGGGTCCTCTTCCATTCTCCAGCTGCCCAACAACTATGTCATGGAGCGAAGCTCCCCTTCCCTCCATGGTCAACCCCAACCTGAGCTGCTTCTCTGCACTGAGCAACCCCAGACTCAAGGTTCCCGTCAGGCAAGCCACATCCTATGCCAGGTCACCTACGGATCACACTTATGTAGGGTTCTCTTTTCCTACTCTGTAGACAAAAGAGAGCAGCGAGACATGCATGTGCCAACTGACCATAACCCATCAGCACCTCTAGCTTTTGGAAGTTGCTGGGTTATTACACTGCTGCGGGTCCCACATTGGCTCTGACAGTCCTTGGTAATCAACATGAATCGAACACTTAGTTCATAAGGAGTCCCAGGAGGACAAGTCGGCGTGGCCCCAGCCCTGGGGAGCCTGTTCAGCGAGCGGCTCTAGCCTAGCTCTGTATCTGGGTACAGCCTATGGGAACAGGGCTCTCACAGGAACCGTACTCTTTTGACCTCTGACCTCTGTCCATTTGCCCAATGTTTGTTGAATACCCATAATATGCAAAGCCCACTCCGTGTCATGGAAAATATGAAGAGTCTTAAACATGGCTGCTTCTCTCTCAGAGCCTATGAGATGAAACCCATACACAGGGCACGGCCTGCTGCTCCCTGTGATGTCTCTGTAGAGTGCCATGCTCCATTTTCGGGTGGAAAATGAGGCCTCGCCTGGTATGCAGACAGCTAGGCCTGCGCAGAGGGTGCTGCCCGTCGGAGGAGCACGGCTGGCTATGTGGGCATCGTAGAGCATGAGGTGTAAGTGTAGGGCCTAGCTGACCATACCTGCAGTGCTGCCCGGCCTCATCCGCTGCTAACTCAGGTGTCTCCATGCCTGTTGCCCTGCTAGAGACTCGCTTTTCCTTGTTGCCTCTTAAAGCTGCTGCCAGCACCATTCTAGAGCCGTGAAGACCATCAGACAGCATCTTAGATGGGTTCTCTTTATTAGGAAGTGGTGTGAATTCCCAAACAGGCCTGTTTTCTTTTCCTCAGGCCTTCGTGTACGCTGGTGTCTGTGCCCTGTGAAACAAGTTTGCCGTCTTTCTCCAAGAACCATTCCCCCGTTGCTTGCAGGGTTAGTACCTCTGTTCAGGAGCAGGAATGTGAAGATGCAACGCACCTCAGACTGACCTCGGCCTCCTGAAAACATTCTCTCCCTGGAGAGGTCACCCAGTCCACTTCTTTCTGTGCCTGAGTGGTTCAACTTTGTCTCTTTAACTCTTCTTTTTTTTTATTTTAAAGGCTTGATTTCCTTGTACACTTGACCAAATGTTCTGATTATGTCCAGTGATGTCCAGTAAGGGTATAACTTGGAGACCGGGAGGCTGTAAGAGTTATCAGCTGCCGAGGGACAGCTGAGGGGGAGCCAGCTAGTCTCGCCTTGTCCACCTTGGCTCAGCTGAGCCGGCCAGCCCCATAATTGACCTCTGCGCCTCCTTTGTCCTTCTTCCCACTGCACAGTTATCTGTAAAGTTGCCGTCCTTCAGGCGGGTCCTCCTGCTTTTCGTAGTGGTCCCTAGACACTCAAAGTTTAAGTCTCTGCAGTCTTTCCCTGCCGAGGGTTCACAAAGTGAGGCTAACCCAGGGGACTTTCGAGCTTGCGCCTAGTGGAAATGGGATGACCTTCCACTGGCAGATCCCGTTAGGACCTCACAAACAGCTGGGCAGTTCTAGGTTACTTGGAGGTAAGGGTTGGCCTGCAGGCCAGAGCGGTGCCTCAGTGGTTAGAAGCGAGCACTGCTCGGCAGAGGGCACCAGTCTCTATCACCCGTGTGGCTCCAGCTCCAGGGGGATGTCAAGACACCTCCAGCCTCATTCGTGTGCACCCCACAGGAGCACGCCTCCTTCCTGATTAGCTCTGAGCAGTGCCTTGAATTCAGCTCCATAGCGGATACCAAAGCTGATGGGCTATGAGCACATGCATGAGTCAGTTTGCACCAGGTTAAAACTGAATCCTTTAAGCCTGCCCCTTGCTCCATCACTGACCGCCTACTTCACTTCTGTCCCGTGCTAATCCTGGTACTGAATTACAAATGTCTTCTTTAAAAAAAAAAAAAAAAAAAAAATATTTTTAGCCAGGTGTGGTGGTCTTTAATCCCAGCACTTGGGAAACAGAGGCAGGTGGATCTCTGAATTCCAGGCCAGCCTGGTCTACAGAGCAAGTTCGAGAAAAGCCGATTTTGTTTTGGTTTGTTTTTTTGTCTGTGGGTGTGGCTCAGGAGTTGCCCAGGGTTCCCAAGGCCTGGGCTTAATCTCCATTCACAGAGGCCCAGGGTTCCCAAGGCCTGGGCTTAATCTCCAGTCACAGAATTAACACTTGCCCAGGGTTCCCAAGGCCTGGGCTTAATCTCCATTCACAGAGTTACACACTTGCCCAGGGTTCCCAAGGCCTGGGCTTAATCTCCAGTCACAGAGTTACACACTTGCCCAGGGTTCCCAAGGCCTGGGCTTAATCTCCAGTCACGCAACAGAAGAGGTGTGTGTCCTGCCACACACAGTGTGGGCGCAGAGCTAAGGCAGGCTAAGCAAGGGGGCACAGAGCAGCAGATGAGCCTACAGACGTTCTCTTTGGCTTTGGAACACCACTTAAAGTAGACTGATGGCTCCCATTTCCCAGTAGAAGGAAAATCTTGACCTGTCCCACACCCGTGTGTAGCTAGAATAGCATGCCATGCGAGAGAAAGGCGGCAGTGAGAAACCCCAAGCCAGACGTCCTCAGACCTGACCGGGTAGTGGTATGTTTGGGCCAAGTGCCCCATGTCTTGCTGAGGCCAAGCCCGGGCAGCCCCAGGTGTGGCTCCTATCCAGTGTTCAGGGTCACCCTGGTAGTGGGAGCACGGTAAGTTTGCTCTTGGGGAGCAGGGAAGTGTTGGCCTGAGTCTAGGCTTAACAGACTTCCCCAGGAAGTCAGCGGTTCAGTTCTGGTTGGTTCAGAAACCGATGCCCTGTTGGAATCCTGCCACGTCACCCACGTGCTGGAGCAGGTCTCCACAGCCGGCCCCGGTAGCCCGAGCACCGGCTTAGGTCAGCGGGGTGGGTCATTCCCTGTCTATGAGTGAAAAGGACCCTTCCGCCAAGAGTTATTCTAGTTCTTACGATAAGAGTAATCAAAGACTGTCCTGGCGCTGGCAGAGGCCAGTGCATTTGGAGCTCGTCTAGAAGGAAAGGAAGGGAATGACGAGAAGGATGGATTTGGTGTCCACAGCCACACAAGGTTCTATGGCCACTCAGGGCGATGGCTGGGCTTCTGAGGCTGAGATTAGAGTTCACAGAGGGGGTCATGCAGGTAGCTCTCACGGGGCCGGAACCCTGTCAAGGAGGCTCTTGGGAGAGGCAGCGACCTGTGGAACTTCTTGACTGCATTTCCTTTGTTGGTGTAGTGACTCATCCAATTCTCAAATGGTTTCTTGTCAACCAGGATAAGAGAGCTGGTCCCCGTTGGAAAAGCCATGGTGGCTGAGCTGAGGAGGGGCGGCGGGTGCGTGGGTGTGTATTTACCTGTATTCTTTTCCATAGGTTCCATTAAGTTTGTCTGGCTTAATTTAATGGGAGCCTCTGGGAGCTGCAGACTGTAAAGGGCGAGGGTAAGGTTCATGTCACCTCTTCAGGCTCCTCTCCTTCCAACGGGACCTCCTCCTCTCCCCTCCCCTCAGCCCCTTCCCTTCCCGACTTATGTGTGTTCCGCTCCCTTCCCTTTATTCAATCTCTCTTCCCTTTGTGTTTTTCTTCTGCCTCTCTCAACCACCTTTCCTTCCAGGTTGTTTGAGTCAAGTTGAAGTAGGCTGAAGTAGGCAGCCGGTGACACCCACTTCCTCTGCTGGGGACCCCCATCTGTTAAATCAGTGCTAGGGGTTTATTCTAACACTCTGGAACCTCTGTTTTCTTTTCCTTTTCTTTTTCTTTTTCTCTTCTGTTTTTGTGTAGGTCTCTTTAGTCAGCCTTATAGCTAATGCCCTGGGCTACTCGGAACTAGGTGCCATAAAGTCCCTTAGGACCCTAAGAGCTTTGAGACCCTTAAGAGCCTTATCACGATTTGAAGGGATGAGGGTAAGATACTAAGAGCAGCCGATCCTTCTGCATGCCAATGGAACTGTAAAAGCATGCTAGAACTGATCACAGGGCGGAGATCATGCAAACACAGACTGCGGTGCAGCTGCCAAGCTGACCCTCCTCTCTCCCTCGCACCTGCCCCGTGCGGGGGAGTCGCCTTAAGCTGCCTCATCACGTTAATACTAGCCCCGCCCCCCACAACGTGCTGCTGCGGAACCTGTTAATCTGCCTCCCTCATCTGGCCTGGCTTACCTGTAGCACTCGGGGCGGCTTTCTGGGCTGCTGGATTTATAGGGAGAATCACCAGGTGCAAAGAAGGGGAATTATAACCCAGAGACCCGCTGAAAAGCCTAGGCTGCTGGCAGGAAGAGTGCAGGATAGAGGCAGCAGCCACATGGGACCTGTGGCCTTGGGGGGTCACTGAAAGGACTCGAAGGCAGGGCGGCAGGCTTGGAACTGGGGACGGAGCAGAATTCGGCATGACCCCGGGAGAAGAAATGCGTTTCTTTCTATTCTGATTCCTCTTATTGCACCTTGTTGTTCTCAGCCCAGTCCCTCTCGGGACTGGCAGCCGCTGTCTGGTAGCAAAGCTTTCCTCCTCACCCCCAGCCCCCTGCCCATGCTCTGTGGTCCCCGTCCTCACAGCATCAGAACAGTGGACGAGGCCAGGCGGCTGCATATCAGCTAGCTCTGGAATCTCTTGAGATCCCCTGTTTCTACCTGGGCCGCCCACTGCCCGGGGCCAGCCGGTACAAGGGGCTGTTGCGCTGCTGTGTTCAAGCGGCTTTCTCTTTTGATGCCTTGCCCTGTCGGTGTGCACAGATGTGTGTGCGCACGCTAAAATGTCGTCCAGAAAATCCCTCGGACAGCTGGCTCCGTGGTGATACTCGCCCTGTGCCAGTCAGGGGGGTCTGTTATGCTCAGGGGCCCAAGAAAACTCACTTAAATTTAGATGTTGTATACATGCAGGAGAGCAAACCAGAGGGTGTTTCTAAATGTGCAAATACGAGACGTAGGCATGAGACTGGAGCTATTATGCTCCACATGAAGGAAGACTGATTGGCTCAATAGAGACCAGAACGTTACGGCTGGCTCATTCCTCATCTGTGGCCCAGCCAGTAGTCCACAAGGCTATTCGCCACTGTACAGGAAGGGGAAATTTTAATGGGGACTTAGGAGTCTCATTATCTTAGTTTTTTTAAACAAACGGTGTTTGCAGTGACCCCGTGTTGACTCTGTAGCACAGTCACAGTTTGGCTAAACGTGACCTTCGATGGCCTCCTGAAGCCTTCTGCAGGAAGAAGGGCGACGAGTTCATTCTAATTAAAAAGGAATTCTGCGTCTTTCTCCCACAAGTAAGAGAGGTTTCAGCATGGGCGAAAGACAGACGCTGTTCTGACCAGGCGAAATTCAGAGAGGGTGTGTGCCGTTCTAGGCACAGTGCACAGCCGCAGTGGCCACAGTGTGAGCGGAAGTCTGGCTAAAACGCTCTGCTCCTCTGCCTGCCCACATTTCACAAGCCTTGGTAGTGTTAGGGTTAATAGTCCACCTTGGGGGCAGAATAACTGGGGACAGGATGCAGCTATGAACAACCCATCAAAGGCATTGACTACAGCATTGGACCCGAACCTAGTCCCTGGCGGGGCCCTGGGCCTCCTCAAGGAGACTGCCACTCCTATAGACAGCTCCCAGCTCGCCCAGCCGGCACTGTGAGCGCTCTCCGTCTGGTGGCTCATCGCTGACTCTGTCACTGCTTCAGACGCAGTCGCCGGGGACCAGCTGGAGGCACCTGTGTAGAGGAAATCCTTCGAATGATCCAGATGCAGGAGACCTTTTCACAGCACCCACCCCCTTCTCCCTTCACTCGGCTCCCACCTTCCCTTGCCCCTCGTTTGCCATATCCCCCAAAACTTTTACTTGCCATCTCTCAAGTAGATGAGAAACCCAAGTCCAGAACACATGTCAGCTCCAAAGGGAGTTTCGCTTTTAAAGTACCTCCCTGTTCTTGGCTAAGCTAATATATAGGCAAGAACTGCTGTGGCCCCACACCGGCACGTTAGAGCAGTGGGGGGGGGGCAGGAGGATAGTGGGACCACGTGCCAGCGGAGCTAACTGTCACTCGGGGGAGTGGAGAGGCCTCAGACACCCACTCCTGCCCTGAAGTTCTCCAACCTGTGTGGAGGAGAAGCAGCTAGGCTCACCAGGTTGCTAGCAGGCCACCCAGTAGTGCCTGTGTTTATTGAAGGACGGTTTTCCACGGGGTGTGCGTTTCCATTCGGTAGCTTTTGCAAGGTACCACCTAAAACTCTCAGCTAAGAAACCCTGATAAGCCGAGGATCATCCGTGCAGATGGGCTCAACTGTCACTGTGCTGCTCTGATTCTAGGCTCTGCCCTTCCCTTGAAAAGGGGTGTCACCCTAGCCTGAACTGGGGTACTCACTTCAGTCTCCTCTCCTTCCTCAAACCAAAGACCAGAAATTGCAACAGTCCTGCTATTGGCAAAGGAACACTTAAGTCGCTCCTTGCTTTTCTCTCCTCCATAGTGACCCTTGAGACCTCGCTGTGCTGTTAACTCTTGGGGTGTTCACTGCTATGAAACATGCATGCCTTTCTGTTGTCAGTACGTAGTTGTCACTAAAGCCATGTTCCCTCTGCCAGATGCTAAAAACTGGCTCACAGTCTTTATAGAGTTAAATGAGCAAGAGTAGTGTCCCAGGCAGCTTGGGGATGGGGAAGATGTAAGAATTACTATCCAAAAGAGGTTTCTCATCAAATAAGTGACAGTCTTGTCAACCGCTAAGTGCAAGCTGCCTTTGAAACATTCAGCTCTCTTGCAGGCTTCTCTAACCTGCCCTTGAGTTCTGTGCCTGTCCTGTAGAAATCTCACTTTTAACAATAACAGACTGTATCACAACTAGGGCAGGGTGAATACCCAGAGAGCAGGGTGAGGGATCCAGTTAGAGCACCATTGAGAACTCGGTCATTAGTCAGGTCCTTTCCAGGGGAGAGAAGGGAGCATGGCTTCCTGCTCTCGGATCGCCGGGCACAACACCGGCACCTCTTCCAGAATGGTTAATTCTGCTGCGCGGCGTAGTGGCCAGTGTCCACAGCAAAGAGAAGCGTCCACTCCGCCAAATCTGTTTACTGCCTTACCTGTAACACTAAGGTAAGGAGTTCCCCAGTAGTTGTGATTGGCTGAGAACATAACTTAGAGAAAAGCCCTCACCCAACACGCGCTTGACCTGAGTTCTATCCCTAGCACAGAGACAGAAAGGAACGTTTTACAAATCCATTTCATCTTCTAGGATTTTTATATCCTATGAGAGATGAAGCTGACACCAGACTTGTGGATCACAGAGCGTCAGCGAGTTTTCCCTCGCTGTATGTTGTATCCATGTTTGAACCGTGTTTGGAGAGAGCTCAGCGGCACCCTTGCTTGGGAAGATGTCCTGGAGCAGGCCACAGGCTGACTTGCCATGAGAACTGCAGCTCTAGGCTTCCACCTGGGGAGGCTGCTTTAGGCCTCACACCATGGCCTCCCAGAGCTCTGACATGTCATACACATGCATGCGCACACACACACACACATCTTCATGTACTCTGTTCTTACTGTTTGACAAGGGACTGTTCTGCTTGTGGATCATCCCCTTTCACCTGTTCTTTTCCACATTTCGTTGCTTTTTGCTCCCACCGAAGGGTGACCACCGTAGAATGAGGAAGTAAACGTTGAATCTGATTATCTGGCACCTTTGATAAATGCATGAAAGGACACGGAGAATCTCCAGACTTCGACAATCCCGGGTGCCCAAGCGTTAAGGAACATATACCTACAGTAGGAACTGTCTGGACTGTGAGAGAGTTCTTGGTCTAAGAATTAATAGCTGCCTCTCGGTCTAAAGGCATTCATGTATGAAGTGGAGAATCACAAACTGAACAGTCTGAAAGGAAGAGCAGCTGGCTCTTTTCAGTAGAGACAGAGCAGATGTCCTCAAAGCCTGAGTGGAAGCATGAAGCTGTCGGGACAGCCTTCCTGGGCCTCAGCAGCTCTGCTCAAGGTGTTCAGCCAGGCCACCTCCAGGGTTGCTTTGTAGGCACTGAACACTAGCGAAAGCTGCGGAGACAGCCACCTGGCTGCCTCTAGCATACTGCAAAACCCAAGAAACGACCACTCCTGGGCTCTTTGTTTTTAACTTTGTGAAGAATGGAGTTGAGGTCCAGCTGAGCAATCAGCGTGTCGGAAGGCAGGACGGCAGAGAGCCTTGGGCGAGACTCATAGCTGCTCACATTTCAACCTGAACCGTTTGGTAGAGGGAATATAGCTTTTTCTTTCTTCCTTGAGCCTGCAAAATCTGCATGCTCAGCTATTGCCTGAAAAGAGAACTGCCTTGCATAGTCCTAAAGACGTTCTGTACCGTGCTAACCCGAAGGGCCGCGCTATGACTTTGAACAATTGTGCCTTGTTTTTCAGAGGGGGAATGTCTGTTGAAAGGCCCCTAGTGAGCGATTGCTCAGATTTCCCTGACAGAGGCAGATTTTGTCAGTTGAAAATCAGGGAGACTGGACTAAAATATCATTTTCCTGGTCCTGGGTTGGGGCCTAGAAAAAACTCAGGGTCAACTTGGGCAGGGGAGTTTGAGTAAACCGAAACAAAGCACAGCTTATTACAGTTCACCCAAATGTAGCGCAGAGACTTAGACGTTGGGGTCCTGCCTGTGGACCTGCACAGTCAGTCACTCGGGCTGGGAAGACGAGGAAGTGTTATCATGGCCGAGCAAGCCACAGAAATGCCATTCCCCTCCTGGAAACCATGAGACTGTGCGTGCCCCTCCCACCAGCTCTCAGCAGCCCCCTTCCACTGCAGGTGGTGGTGAATGCCTTGGTGGGTGCCATCCCGTCCATCATGAACGTCCTGCTGGTGTGTCTCATCTTCTGGCTGATTTTCAGCATCATGGGTGTCAACCTGTTCGCGGGGAAATACCACTACTGCTTCAACGAGACTTCCGAGATCCGGTTCGATATCGAGATCGTCAACAATAAAACGGACTGTGAGAAGCTCATGGAGGGCAACAACACAGAGATCAGGTGGAAGAACGTGAAGATCAACTTCGACAACGTGGGAGCGGGCTACCTGGCCCTTCTGCAAGTGGTGAGTGCTCCTGCTCCCCGCCATGGCCCCTTTGCTTTTCTGTCACAGTGTAAGAAGGTCGGGCTCTTGGGCTTAAGGTTAGAACAGAAGAGTAGGACAGGCCCTTGCCTAATGTAGATAAAGCCCTGGGTTCAATTCCCAGCACCACATAGTAATTAATTAACTAACCAAAAGGGAAAAAAAGGCTGGGCTCCTGACTTGAACCTGTGCAGCTCCAGAAAACTGGTGTGTCTCTCTCAGGCACTTGGTGCTTATCTAATTCCTTTCTACAGAGTGGCTCCTTGGTGGTCCCAGCATTCCAGTGGACCTGTAAGTTCACATTCACCGTCCTCCCGCTTTCGATGTGGGCTCCGCCCTCAGTCCCTACAGGCCATCGTTAGTCTGTCTCTGCCAGACTTCAGTGACTTTGTCGGGGATTCACTCAAAGTCCAGGAAAGCTGAACACCCCTAGGTTCCCATGTTGTGCTTGTGACCCCAAGCCCTCAGGGCCCTGCCCTGGCCCCCAGCCACCCTCTCAGGCTAACAGCCGGCTCTGTTTCCCAGGCGACCTTCAAAGGCTGGATGGATATCATGTACGCAGCCGTAGATTCCCGAAAGGTAGGGACGCACGGACGCACATGGTGATGCGTTAACAGCTTAAAGGCCAGAAAGCACGGGAGGGGTGGGCACGAAGGCCCTGAGCTGTCTCTTTGGACCGTAATGGCCTGCAGTGAGGAGGGTGGGTCCTTCCCCTCCTCCCTCTCCCAGCTCTGCGTGGTCAGCCCCTGCTGTCTGCTTGACCCTGATGGCCCTGAACACCCCCAGTCCTGCTCCAGAGCGAAAGCATATGAGGCGGCCCTCCCCCTGCCCTTGATGGACCAGCCGAGGGCAGAGAGAGCCTGAGGCTCCCGTCCCCAGCTCTCAGCCACACACAGGGAGAGCAGGGCCTCCTGACAACCCCAGCCCGACACTGACCGGGCCCCTGTCCCCTGCCCTTCCACAGCCCGACGAGCAGCCCAAGTACGAGGACAACATCTACATGTACATCTACTTCGTCATCTTCATCATCTTCGGCTCCTTCTTCACCCTCAACCTGTTCATCGGCGTCATCATTGACAACTTCAACCAACAGAAGAAAAAGATAGGTTTTCCCCACACCGCCAGTGGGCAGAGGCCAACCCTGACGAGCGCACTCAGCATTGTCTCTAGACAGACAATGCCCCGGGCAATCCTTTTTATTTGGGGCTGAACTTTGTAGCAGGGGGCCCCCACATTTCCCTGCAGTTCTGTGTTCTCAAGACCACTCCTCATGGGGCTCTCCACCAGTGGGAGGGGCCGAGAAGAGAAACCAGCCTCCGGTAGCATGGTAGGGCTGGAGAGGCCGTCCTCAGCCCGTGTCCCACAGGGGTCATAAGTCCTCCAAAGCAAGCTGGAAGGTGACCTGCTCCTGTTTATTTATAAATTTAGTCTGTTCGGTGAATCACAAGAATCCTAAGCTGCCTTTTTAAGACAGGGTTCCTCTGTGTAGCTCTGGCTGTCCCGGACTTTGTAGACCAGGCTGGCCTTGAACTCACGGAGACCCACCTGCCTCTGCTTCCTAAGTGCTGGGATCAGAGGCGTGCACCACCACGCTCGGCCCCTAAGCTACCTTCCTGTACCATAAGTTCCAAATGTTGAATTTCATGAAAAGTGAATTTGCCATTTGCTGCACTCAAGGGTCTTCTTAAATGTTTGGAAGGGGGCCGCAGGGCATGTCAGTGAGTGCCAGCGTTTAGGAGCAGAGGCCAGCAAATCTCACTGCACAGTTCAGGCCCCGTAGTGAGACCCCAACTAGAAGAACACGGTTTCTTTCCCTGGGTGTGACTGGCCTTGCCTGCTCCTGACTGAGTGCACAGTCCTGTCTCATTGCTCAGCCTGGCAGGCTCTAGACGCCCCAGCTAAATTTGCAGCATCTCTACGGGGAGGAATTGCCCCTGGAGTGCACCCAGCGGAGGCCCCTTCACCACGCTGACCTCTGGAGGGAAAGGGAAGTCCCTCGGCTTCCAGCCGGGCCACCCGAGCCGCTTGTAATTTTCCTCTCTTTGTTCTCTCTCTACTTCGGAGGTCAGGACATCTTCATGACAGAGGAACAGAAGAAGTACTACAATGCCATGAAGAAGCTGGGCTCCAAGAAACCCCAGAAGCCCATCCCCCGCCCTGTGGTAGGTGTGCTGGGCAGGCTAGCCGGAAGGCACACACCAGGGCTGCTACCAAGGAAGGGGGAGACGTGACGGGCTGCCCGGTGCTGCCTCTGGATCCTCTGCTAGATGTTTCAGCAGCCATCAGGGAGTAGAAGAGAGCCGGGCCTGGCCCGGGCCGGGAGCCCTCCTGTGAGACAGAAGTGGGCAAAGGGTCCTCTTTCAAATAACAAGAACCCTGAGGTTTGCTCAACACTTTCTCAGTGGCTGTGCCCTAAAACATAGTGTCAGGAAGGGCATGGCAGGAGGGCAGCCTACATCCCATAACCAGGAAACAGAGAGAGGTGTGAGAACTGTCTCCTCCCCCTTCTTCCATATGTGCCTCTGCCAACAGGATGATTCTGCCACACTTGTGGGGGGGGTCTTGCTCCCCTAGCTAATCCTCACACATATGTATGGGGTGTGTGTGGGTGTGCGCGCTTGTGTGAAACATGTCTTACTAATCTGGATGTTCTCCCACACAGTCAACCATCACGCTGGAACTTTAGTATAAAAACCTTGGGCCCCGGAGAGATAGCTCATCTGAAAACATGCGCTGCTCTTGCAGAGGGCCCAGGTTCGGTTCCCAGCGTCCATGTCCGCAGCTCACAGCCACCTGTAGCTCCAGCTGCAGGGGATCCAACGCCACTTTCTCCCCTCCGGACACCTCGTGTCCACATACCATACACACATATTAAATGAAAATAAATCTCCTTTGGGGGTTGTGGGAGGAGTTGAGACAGGGTCCATCTGTGCAGCCCTGGCTCTCCTGCAGACAGGCTGTAGACCAGGCTGGCCTCACACTCAAGAGATCCGCCAGCCTTCCAAGTGCCGGGATTAAAGGCGTGCACCACCGCCACCCGGCAGTAAGTCTTTAACATTTATGTTACACGTAATATTACATAATTACAAACGCGCGCGTGCACCCGTGCGCGCACACACGCACACACATACGCTCATATCTGGACTAATCGTCCCAGCGAGAAGGCAGCCAGGAGCACAGACGAGCAGGCCAGCGGCCCTGTGCATCTGAAGCCTTCCGTGAATACTCTCCTGTGTTTCCCCTGCAGAACAAAATCCAGGGGATCGTGTTTGACTTCGTCACTCAGCAAGCCTTTGACATCGTGATCATGATGCTCATCTGCCTTAACATGGTGACGATGATGGTGGAGACCGACACCCAGAGCAAGCAGATGGAGAACATCCTCTACTGGATCAACCTGGTCTTCGTCATCTTCTTCACCTGCGAGTGCGTGCTCAAAATGTTTGCCTTGAGACACTACTACTTCACCATCGGCTGGAACATCTTTGACTTCGTGGTGGTCATCCTCTCCATTGTGGGTGAGTGGGCGGGGCCAGGGTGAGGATGCCATGTCTGAGAGCCGCCTCAGGTGTGCGCTTCTCCGGCCAGGAAGGTCATGTGGTCGCTGTGTCGTCCCCCGCCCCCCGCCCTGAGGCTCCCAGCAGTCCCGGGTGCAAATGCTGCAGCTCGGAGGCAAGACACAAAGTCTGATTTGCTTTAAGGGGTTCAGGTCTACCGGAAAGGTAAAGGAAACTTGTCTCTTAAATGTGGCGATGGCCCGGGGAGAATCGGCTGGTCAAGTGCCGTGTGATGTGTCTTAGCTACGGTCACCACTGCTGTGACGAAACACCATGACCTGAAGCAACCGTGCAGGGAACAGTCTGTTTTACGCACAGTTCCATCTGACGTCATCACCAAAAGCAGTGAGGCAGGAACCCTCGCAGGCTGGAGCGGAGGCAGGGGCTGATGCGGGGGCCTCGGAGGGCGCTGCTCGCTGACTTCATGTTTGTGAGCGGTTAACCGCGCGTGCCTGTGGGCACCAGGTTGTGCCTGGTGCCCATGAGGGTCAGACGAGGGTGTTGGCCCTGGAACGGCAGGTACAGGTGGTTGTGGCCCAGCATGCGAGTTTGGGGCACCCAGCCCAGGTCCTCTGAGTCAGATCTCGGCCCCCACACTGCTCCTCTCATTAGGCCGCCGCACCCGGGGCAGCTGACGGGGGCTTAGACACAGCCCCATGCAGCCTTGGCGTCTGCGAAGGCCAGCACAGGTGCTCCTGGAGGTGGGGATCTTTCCTGGCTTTTTTTTTTTTTTTTTGCCTCGAGGTAAGTATGCGCACTGCAGCCTTGACTGGTACCCAGGGAGGTCAGAAGAGGGGGTCACCTTCCCCGGAATGGGAGTTACAGACGGTTGTGAGCAGCCATGAGGGTGTTGGGAATTAAACCCGGGTCCTCTGAAAGAGTAGACGGTGCTCTTTACCACTGAGCCATCTCTCCAGCCCCAAAGCTTTACTTTTTAGTGTGTGTGTGTGTGTGTGTGTGTGTGTGTGTGTGTGTGTGTGTGCGCGCGCCACTGCAGGCAGTGCCAGGGGGGCATAAGTTGTTGGATCCCCTGGAACTGGGGTTATAGATGGTTGTACGCCACCCTGTGGGTGCTAGGACTCAAACCTGGCTCTCCTGCGTGAACAACAAGGGCTCTTAACCGCCACACCATCTCTCTAGCCCCTTTCTTCTAACTTAAAACCCTCAAAGGAGAGGTTTTTGAGCTCTCTGAAGCGGAAGGCTCAACGCTTATGTGTTCTTATGGTTAAGAGGTTCTTCCCTAGTCAACAGCTTCATGTCAGTGGATGCTCTTCCGGTTCCCTTGGCACACAGAGGGCAGAGAGCAGCATCGCATCAGAGCAGCAGCTCTAGCTTTCACTCCCCACCTTTCCTTCTCCTCCTCCTTCTGTGGCCTTCCTCGGATTCCCCTGTGTTGCTCTTCAGTTTGAAGTCAAGCGGTCTGCTTGAGCTGGGTCCACAAAGGAGTGGAACCAGAAAATGTGTTTCACCTCTACTTCTGCACCCTTCTCCTCCGGCATGTTTCCTGCTTTGGTTCTGCTTTTGATCTACACCCTTCAGCTCAAAATCTGGAAGGCCACTCTGGGCAGCCAGCTCCCATCTCCAAGGCTAGCCCACGTGGGGAGAAACAAACCGAGAATCTGATACATTGAAAGTGTGTAGTGTTAACCGAATAGTTAGGATGTAAAACTTGAAGAGCCGTATGCCACAGGAGGACCCTCTCACTGTGTTTGTAACTCTAGAAAGCCGATGGCAGGGTGGAGAGCATTTGAAAAGCTGGGGAAAATGGGCCCTTGAGTAGGAAAACAAACATGTTTTGTTTTAGTCATAGGAAGGGAAAAAGTCATTTTAGTTGGAGGGACCAGTCTTGCAGACAAAAACCAATTAACGTCTTAAATATCTAATATAGAAAAATACTCCTGGATCATTTCCTGAACATGAAGGACACCTCATTATTAATGAGTCCACATATAGAAAAACTTAAAAACACTAGAGCCGCTGCGAACACCTCTAAGTTAGGAGCTGGCTGCTGTTCAGCCTGCTGATTGAGTTCCTGTGTAAGTGCTTTCTGTACTTTCCTACCTGTTAGAAATGCTTATGATGAGGGTTCAGCTCATTCTCCGAGCCCTTTGGCCTTCTGCGCTCCACAGTGCCCGGTAGGAGGAAGGAAGCGTGGCCCTGGCCTCGGTAACCTCGTCCCCTGTTCTTCCCTCAGGGATGTTCCTGGCTGATATCATTGAGAAGTACTTCGTCTCCCCCACCCTGTTCCGAGTCATCCGCCTGGCCCGCATCGGGCGCATTCTGCGTCTGATCAAGGGAGCCAAAGGGATCCGCACCCTGCTCTTTGCCTTAATGATGTCGTTGCCTGCCCTCTTCAACATCGGCCTCCTGCTCTTCCTGGTCATGTTCATCTTCTCCATCTTTGGGATGTCCAACTTCGCCTATGTGAAGCACGAGGCTGGCATCGACGACATGTTCAACTTCGAGACATTCGGCAACAGCATGATCTGCCTGTTCCAGATCACCACCTCCGCCGGTTGGGACGGCCTGCTGCTGCCCATCCTGAACCGGCCCCCCGACTGCAGCCTGGACAAGGAGCACCCAGGCAGCGGCTTCAAAGGGGACTGCGGGAACCCCTCGGTGGGCATCTTCTTCTTCGTCAGCTACATCATCATCTCCTTCCTGATCGTGGTCAACATGTACATCGCCATCATCCTGGAGAACTTCAGTGTGGCCACGGAGGAGAGCGCTGACCCCCTGAGCGAGGACGACTTCGAGACATTCTACGAGATCTGGGAGAAGTTCGACCCCGACGCCACCCAGTTCATCGAGTACTGCAAGCTGGCGGACTTCGCCGACGCCCTGGAGCACCCGCTCCGAGTGCCCAAGCCCAACACCATCGAGCTCATCGCCATGGACCTGCCCATGGTGAGCGGGGACCGGATCCACTGCCTGGACATCCTCTTTGCCTTCACCAAGCGCGTCCTGGGGGACAGCGGGGAGCTGGACATACTGAGGCAGCAGATGGAAGAGCGGTTCGTGGCATCCAACCCTTCCAAAGTGTCCTACGAGCCCATCACCACCACGCTGCGACGCAAGCAGGAGGAGGTGTCGGCCGTGGTCCTGCAGCGCGCCTACCGGGGACATTTGGCGAGGAGGGGCTTCATCTGCAGGAAGATCACCTCCAACAAGCTGGAGAACGGGGGCACGCACCGGGAGAAAAAGGAGAGCACCCCGTCCACAGCCTCCCTGCCCTCTTACGACAGCGTGACAAAGCCCGACAAGGAGAAGCAGCAGCGGGCGGAGGAAGGAAGGAGAGAGAGAGCCAAGAGGCAAAAAGAGGTCCGGGAGTCCAAGTGTTAGGGAACAGCGTGAGGGGAAGCTTGCACAGCTTGACACTGGTAAGTGGGAGCTTGCCTGCGAACTTCCGGATCTCTCGGATGCAGAGCAGCTGTGCTGGACGCCCCGAACCAAACCTAGCTTACGTGCAACGCGGTTGCAGCTTGAGCAGTGACCTGCTGAGGGCTGAGGACCCTGCTCCCTGGACTCACAGATTTTCTGTCGCTTGGGCAGACGGTTACTGCATGTTCCACAGTCAATGCAACTTAGGACTACACTGACAGGACACAAAGCAGAGGCGGCTGCGGGACCCGAGGGCTGCCGCTGCAGCCAGACGGAGTTTATTTTTTTCATCCTGTTGATTCTCAGAAGCAGAAAGCAGCACTTTACGAAGCTTGTTTGTTCACGCAAACAGGCATTTGCATTCTTCCATTAGTTAAGCTAAGCAGCAAAAAGAAACACACAGACACACACAGACACACACATTCAACCTATGTCACTAATGTCTGTTTCTTTGACAGAAACAGTGTCTTCTCCACATGGGCGTCACGTGGTTTGGAGATGGGTGGGGGAAACATCCAGGTTTCTTTCAGGCTGAGGACGACTTGCTCAGGCCAATTCCAAATATTGTGCTCGCTCAACGCGTAGAAATGACTTGCATGATGGCATGCCGTGATCAGAAGTCGTGCATGAGACCCATACGTCACAAGACACTTGAACCCATCCCCTGCGCCCGGGGCAGCCTCTGCACAGGGCCCAGCCCTCCGTTCACTGGATTTGGAGAAATGGTAAGAGCTCCATGCCGGCTGCGGCCCTTCTCTCACACACCTCTGGGTAGGGAAACATAATTAATTGACCACCGCCAACGAAAACAAGCCAACCCAACAAGCAGATGGATCCGCTGTGTGACACGCTCAACCGACGTCTCTAACATGCAGCTGTCTTTGCGCAGTTCGCAAGGTAAACTAGTGCTGCCCTGTCAGTACATGGGGAGACTTCGGGCCCCGAATGGCTTGTACTATTAATGTCACTGTAAAACCAAATCCTAGGGCTAAAAAAAAAAAATAGAAAAAAGAGTTCATTTGTATCTTGCAATATTATGGCGATTGTTTAGCCTTCACGCTGGAGAACTGACTCTTGGGGTAGGGATGAAAGTGCTGTTGACAATAGCCTGTTGCCTCCAGGAGGCCTTCAGGGGGACGTACAGAAACCTTTCTTTCGGGGTCACGGGGTGCTTCCTTCCTTCAGCGTCATGTCTATCTGCATTACGGCTTCTCTCCAGGCTCAGGTCGATGCGGAAAGGGCTTCAGATGTTCTGAACCACCCTCTCCGGCAGAGGGCTTCTGTGAGCTCCACCTGCGTGGTTCTTCCTGCCTCCATCACGTTCCTCCAGCCACGGGGCTTCCCTTCCCAGCCACCCAGGGCTGGGTGAGGGCAGCCGTGTTGGCTGGGGTAGGGCTGTGGGCTCTGCCATTGCAGTTAGAGTGACGGTCACTGGCAGCCGCTGAGCTAGTGCCGCTGCTTCCGGAGTGAGGCCGGCGGCCTTGTCTCCACGCTGACGTCGGTAAGAAAGGGTCTCCATGGCAATTCTTTAGGGTGTTGCTTCCCATGGCGTTTCCACCCAGCCCACCTTGCTTTCTGCTTCGTGGCCTGCCTGCTTACGATGGGGAATGGCTTCCATTCCATCTCCTGCTTACGGAACATAGTTCTGAGTCCAGGGCCTGTTGCCTGGCCACAAGGTTTCAAAGCCAAGATGCTGCATTTGAATGTCAGAAAGTCTCTCTGAACCAAATCAACACAGCCCAGCACTAGACACGGGGGATGCCCCAGTCGGCCTCGCCGTAGAAGCACTTTGGATGTAATCTCACAGTCCACTTGACTAGTTTTGCGTAGAACCACAGCCAGCCAGTGAGCAGAGCTTCCTATCGCGTTGGACCGGAAGACACTGTCCAGCTCTCCTGAGCACGCTGACCAGCTCAGGGGCTGTGCCAGTGCGCCTGCTGCTAGGACAGAGGTAGAGAGGGTGACGCCATAAACAGCACCAAACAGGAGCTGACGTGTGGTTAACCTTTCTAAGAGATTATAAATACTGTAATATATGATTTTATTTTATTGGCATGCCTTTTTGTAAATACAAATTACTAACTTATTAAATAGGAGATGGCTTCTGCCTTATGCCATTGTCACGTTTATTTTTATTTTTTATACTTTCCTTTCTTCTTAGAACTTAGATGCTGTCAGCCAATGTACACCCCCAACCAGACAGACAAACAACAACAAAAAAAATTTTTTATTGCTAATGGTCTTTTCCAAAACAACAAAAAAATATATATTTTTGTTCCAATGTGCAATAAATTCTAACCACTTCTATGCAAGATTTGGCTAAACTTAATCATTGTTCTTAGATCTGAGACGGGCAACAGCTATTTGATCCTGCTAGGAACACCAAGCTCCATGCTCACTCGCAATGTCCTCACACTTTGAGAGCTGGCCCTCCTCCCCAGCTCGCCACCCAGCCCAGCAGGCTGTGGCCTCAGTTTCTCACCCCCTCCAACAGCTTCGCAGGAAGGAAAGCACCTCCATGCTCTAACCTTTACTCTGATTAGACTCTCCCACCGTGGCCCTCCCCCCTGGACCCCTCCGTGCCCTCTTTGCTCGTTCACCATCCTGCTCCACACTCATGAACCACCATCACCAGCAGTCCACACCCACAGTTATCAGGCTTTGAACCTAAAGAGTCAGCTATGGCAGTTTTTGGTTGGTTTTGTTTTGTTTTGCATCCTCACCGAGTGAGCAAGTGGGCAATGCTTTGCCAAATCTTCACCAACCCACCGGGGAGCGGCAGCAGCCAGCACCGCTACACACATATATATATATATAGATATATAAATACAAATATTTATTTTTTGTAGCCAGGTCCTTGGTGCAGTATTTATATTCCACAATCCTTTAAAAAAAACAAAAAACAAAAAAAAACAAAAAGGACAGAAGGCAAAAAGTCACATGATGCTGTTGATTTAAAAGGCAGAGCCGAAGCCCCTGAGCAGTAGGTGCCGACTGCTGGTGTGTGAAAACACTTCCCCTTCCTTCCCCTCTTCCTTCCCCCCTTCCTTGACTTCGCTGAGGCTCTGGGTGAGGAGACTGGGAATCCTAGAGCAAAGGCTGAGAGGAGGGGACACCTCCCTAGTCCACCCGGCTCTCACGTGGGCATCTGAAGCTGTGGGCAGAGAGACAAGCCCCCTGGAGCTACAGTGCCCAGAGGGCTTCTTCCGTTCTATCACCACAACCGACGTGAACTGTAAAAGACCAATAGTGTATTAGTGAGTGAATGGAGGCCAACGCTGCCCTAAATGAGAAAAAAAAACAAACAAAAAGGTAAATTACTATAAGCCAAAAAGGAAACAAAATAAAAGTGACCCTTCTTACCACACGAGGGAAGCCTGTCTTGGTGTGTGTCTGTCGTTTGACCTGCCCGATTCTTGAGTTCTGGAAGGGGTCTGGGAACTGGGACCCTGGAGCAATTGGGAAAAGGAGAAGGGGAGCCAGAACCTCCCACTTCCGGCTAAGTAGAGACTGCAGAGAAAAGCCAGGCCCTGCCCCAGGCCCCTGCTTGCCAACTGCATGTGGCATTACATCCCCTCCTCACTGGGCCCACCCGGTGGAGCCCCCCGAGACGTCTTCAACCAACCCAGCTGGTCTGGCCTCACTTCTGCCTTGTTCACGGATAGGACTTAAGGAAAAAGCTATCCCCCATCTCCCAAAGCTAGTGCAAGCACGCTGCCCGGCAGCTTCCGCTCCACTAGCCAGTGCTGGGCCCTGCCCTCCATCCACTCCCATAATCGGACCGGCAGACGGGGCTGTCCCCTTCACACGCGTGCAGGGAGGGGCGCCCCTCGGGACATCCCTCTCCAGGCCGTGTCTCCTGGTCTAGGAACACTCAGGAGGATCTTGAAGTGCCCACTCTAGTAACTGAGCTGGAGAGAGACGGTGGTAGGTCAGTCCCGTCCTGCCCCTCGACCCAGCCTCCGGCGGAGGTGAAGGTGCCGTGGGCCAGGGCGCGGTGGCTTGAGTCCTGGCATCTTCTGGAACGATGCCTCTTTCTGTTCTCAGATGTTGCCCAAAGTTTTGCAAAAAGCTTCGTTCATTTTCAGGTACTCCCCCGCCCCCTCAAGACTCAGCTGCCGCCAGTCAGCCGGGGGTCAGGAGAAGAGGAGGGGTCTGGGCTGGGAGGCCGAGATCACACTGCTACTGCGCTTCTTGCCTCTCCCGGCCATTGCCAAGATTTCCTCCGTTGAAACACTCCTGAGGCGCCCCTGCCCGACCCCACTGCTGTTTGCTGTACATGAGGCCAAGTGGGGTGATGTGGGCCGGCGTGCACATCAGTGTGTGTGCGTGTGCGCGCGCGTGTGTGTGTGTGCGTGCGTGTGTGTGCGTGTGTATGTGAGGATTGTATATAGGTAAAAGGGGAGCGTGGTCCAGTGGTTCCAGAGGGACAGAACGCTGTTCCATCCCTAGCTTGACCACTGGCTCGCTGTGTGGCCTTGGGCAAGTCACTTAACCTCTCTGTGCCTCAGTTTCCCCATCTGTAAAATGGGGGTAATAATACTGACCTACCTCACAGGGGTGTTGTGAGGCTTTAATAGATGTTTTGTAAAGCGTTCTGAGATACAGAGACAAAGGCGCCAGGGAAGGGCAACGTAGGAAGACGGACTAGTACCATAAGCGCTGCTATTCCGAGAGCCATTTTAAACTGCACAGCGCCACCCCCGCTTCTCATCACCAGGAGAGCAGGTCGAGAGATGTCTTTCCTTGCACTTGCTTCTGGGGTTTGTGATCCTTCTAATTTCCCCCTTGCTGTATCTCCTCCCTTAGCCCTTCGGCTCGCCCCCTGTTGTGTTTGCGCGGAGATGGCAGAGATGCTTGAGAAATGAGCTGTGTACGAGGACTGGACGTTTATAGTCTGAATTTTCGATTTTCCTTTGTACTGTACATCTTTTTACTTTAGAATTTGCAATAAAGGGTTACGTCAATCTTGTTTTCAACTCTCCTCTTGGACTGGCCTGTCATTCTGTCATGGCTCCTGCCTCAAGCCCCTGGCCCGAGGACTCCCTGGCTTCAGGTTCTACACACACACACACACACACACACACACACACACACACACACACACA